TGAGCCCTGAAATGAACCCTTCATCATGTTGAAAGGTGTATAGGTACTTTATTTTATTTCATTGCTCAATAATAGTTCATTGTTTGGCATAGACATTTTGTTTATTCATTCATCAGTTGGTAGACACTAAGGTGTTCCTGTTTTTTGACTTTTATAAATAATGTTGTTAGGAACATTTGTGTTCCAAGTTTTTGTATGAACATATGTTTTCAATTTTCTTGAGTAAAATTGCTTGGTCATATGGTAATTCTATCTTTACCATTTTGAGAAACTGCCAAACTCCTTTTTATAGTGGCTTCATCATTTTACATTCCCACCAGCAATGTGTGAGGGTTCCAATTTCTCTGCATTCTTGCCAAGACTTATTTTCTCTTTTGCTTTTTATACGCCTTTATTATAGCCATTCTGCTGTGTGTAAAGTGGTAATTGTCTTGATTTACATTTCCCTAATGCCTTTGGCCACTTCTGTATGTTGGGAGGAATGTCTATTCAGATCCTTTGCCCATCTTTTAATTGAGTTAGTAACCTTGTTGAGTTTTAAGAGTTCATTATTTATTTTGGATGCTAGACACTTAACAGGTTTATGATTTTTAAATATTTTTATCCATACTATATGTGTTGTCTCTTCACCTTCTTGTTTTTTCTCTTTACCTTCTTCATAGTGACCTTTGATGCACAAATGATTGCTTTTGATGAAGTCTGTTTTGTCTGCTTTTCTTCTTGATTTTTCTTTTTTTAGAGAAGAATCTTGCTCTGTCTCTCAGGCTGGAGTGCAGTGGTACGGTCATAACTCACTAAAACCTCCAGTTCTCAGCTCAAGCAGTCTTCCTGCCTCAGCCTCTGGAGTAGCTAGGACTACAGGCGGTGTCACTACACCTGGCTAATGCTTTAATTTTTTTTTTTTTAAAGAGACAGAGTCTCATTTTGTTGTCCTTGGTAGAGTGCTGTGGCATCACAGCTCATGGCAACCTCCTGAGGTGCTTCGGCTTAGGTGATCTCTTCCTCAACCTCCCGAGTAGCTGAGACTACAGGCACCTGCCATAACTCCCAGCTATTTTTTTGTTGCAGTTTGGCTGGGGCTGGGTTTGAACCCGCCATCCTTGGTATATGGGGCCGGCACCCTTCTCACTGAGCCACAGGCACCACCCTAATTTTACTTCTTTATTCTTTATTTTTTTTGAGATAGAGTCTCACTTAGTTGCCCTGGAGTTGAGTGCTGTGGCATTATAGTGATCCTCTTGTCTCAGACTCTTGGGTAGCTGGACTTGCTAAACCACAATGCCTAGCTTATTTTATTTTATTTTTTTGAGACAGAGCCTCAAGCTGTCCCCCTGGGTAGAGTGCCGTGGCATCACAGCTCACAGCAACCTCCAACTCCTGGGCTCAAGCAAGTCTTCTGCCTCAGCCTCCCAAGTAGCTGGGACCATAGGTGCCCACCACAGTGCCTGGCTATTTTTTGGTTGCAGCCATCATTGTTGTTTGGCGGGCCCGGGCTGGATTTGAACCTGCCACCTTAGGTGTATGTGGCTGGCGCCTTAGCTTCTTGAGCCACAGGTGCTAAGCTGCCTAGCTAGTTTTAAAGACTGGGTCTTGCTCTTGCTTAGGCTGGTGTGAAACTCCTGAGCTCAAGCAGTCTGCCTGTCTCAGCCTCCCAGAGTACTGGGATTACAGGCATGAGCCACTGCACCTGGCCAGTTTAGTTTTATATTTATTTATTCAGAGACAGAGTCTCACCCTGTCACCATAGAGAGCAGTGGTGTCATCGTAGCTCACAGCAACCTCCAATTCCTGAGCTCAAAGTAATCCTCCTGCCTTAGCCTCCTGAGAAGCTGGGATTACAGGCTCATACACCAGGATGCCTGACTATTTTGTTTTATCTTTTGTAGAGACAGGGTCTCACCTTGCTTAGCCAGGTCTTAAACTCCTTAACTCAAGCAGTCGTCTTGCCTCAGCCTCCTAGAGCACTAGGATAACAACCACTGTGCCCAGCATTAATTTTAATTTTTTTTTTTTAAAAGACAGAGTCGTACTTTGTCATCCTCGGTAGAGTGCTGTGGCATCACAGCTCATAGTAACCTCCCGAGTAGCTGAGACTACAGGCACCCATCACAACGCCCAGCTATTTTTTTGTTGCAGTTTGGCCAGGGCCGGGTTCAAACCCACCACCCTTGGTATATGGGGCACCCTACTCACTGAACCATAGGAGCTACCCTAATTTTAATTTTGTAAAGAGACTTAGTCTCTCACTATGTTAGCTAAGCTGGTCTCAAACTCTTGGGCTGAAGTGATGCTCCTACCTTAGCCTCCCAAGAACTGGAATGGGCTGAAGTGATGCTCCTACCTTAGCCTCCCAAGAAGCTGGAATGACAAGTGCATACTATCACCCCTACCATACATATGAATTTTAGAATCAGCTTGCCCATTTCTGTAAGATAAATAGTTCAAGTCTTTTTTTGAGACAGACTCTCAAGCTGTCACCCTGGGTAGAATGCTTTGGCATCACAGCTCATAGTATCCTCAAACTCTTGGGCTTAAGTGATTCTCTTACCTCAGCCTCACAAGTAGCTGGGATACAGGCACCCTCCACAATGCCTGGCTATTTTTTTTGGTTGTAGTTGTTATTGTTGTTTGGCAGGCCCATGCTATATTCGAACCTGCCAGCTCTGGTGTGTGTCGCTGGCGCCTTAGCTGCTTGAGCTACAGGTACTGAGCCTAGTTTTTCTATTTTTCGTAGAGACGGGAGTGGGAGGTCTCACTATTGCTCAGGCTGGTTTTGAACTCCTGAGCTCAGGTGATCCATCCACCTCAGCCTCCCAGAGTGCTAGTATTACAGGTGTAAGCCACCACCCCTGGATTGAAGTTTTAATATATGTTAAATACAACTTTTAGTAAAATATATTTGAACTATTGTTATGTTTGGGAGGATAGATACCAATAGTTTCAAGCAAGTATTATCCCTGATTTTAGTTCAGGGATAATAGAAGAATCAGACTATTGTACTTGTTTGGTTTTTTTTTTTTTTTTTTTTGAGACAGAGCCTCAAGCTGTCCCCCTGGGTAGAGTGCCGTGGCATTACAGCTCACAGCAACCTCCAACTCCTGGGCTCAAGCAACTCTCCTGCCTCAGCCTCCCAAGTAGCTGGGACCACAGGCGCCCGCCACAACGCCCGGCTATTTTTTGGTTGCAGCTGTCATTGTTGTTTGGCGGGTCCGGGCTGGGGATTCGAACCTGCCACCTTAGGTGTACGTGGCTGGCGCCTTAGCCGGTTGAGCTATAGGCACCGAGCCAGACTATTGTACTTGTAAGCATCAGAAACTACAACCAGCAATGTCCAAATATTCCCATTTAAACCTATTCAGAGTTAGGGGTTCTACTGAAGCTCCTCTGGGGTAAGAATTGAATACCCTGCCAGGCTTTCCTTCTGAACATACAGAGTGAAACTGGTACCATGGTGAAGATTTTAAGAACCTTGTCAGTAAAATTTGCCTGCCAGCCACCTACCTCTCAGCCTTGTTCTATAGTCTGTAGTCTGTAGTTTAGCCCAGTCGACTATCCCTTTCTTTTTTTCCCCAGTCTCTCTCTGTTGCCCCAGTCTAGAGTGCCCTGGCATCAGCCCAGCTCACAGCTACCTCAAATTACTGAATTCAAGCCATCCTTCTGCTTCCTGAGTAGCTGGGACTACAGGTGCTAGGCACTGTGGCCAGCTATTTTTAGTAGCTGGGTGGTCTGGAACTCCTGAGCTCAAGCAATCCACCCCCCTTGGCCTACCAGAGTGCTGGGATTATAGGTGTGAGCCACCACACCTGGTCCTGGTAGAGTATCCTGAATAGACCTTGTACTGTTTTGCTTTAGGACCTTTGCTGTGTTAGTCCCTTTCCTTGGAGACCCCCACCTGTCCCTTTTGCACTTGTTGAAAATCTATCCTACAATGCAGGCCTACCTTAGAATAATACATATTTTTTCATAATAACCTTCCTAATTTCTCTCCCTCTTGCTTATCTCTCCTTTTGCTGATTCCTTGTAAAGTTTTATGAGCGCCATACTTGTCCTCGGCCCTCACTGTAATGTGAGTCTCTCTGTCTTCTCGCGTACTCATGTCTTCAAGGGGGTATCAAGGGAGTGCCAAATACAGATCCAGGCCCTGTTCAAAGGGTCAGCTCATTACTCTTAGTTTTAGAGTGGTTGATGTGGAATCATACTTTTGTTGCATTATTTTTATACTATAGCTTGAGGAATTTTCTTTTCATTTTTTTTTTTTTTTGAGACAGAGTCTCGCTCTGTTGCCCTTGGTAGAGTGCTGTAGCATCATAGCTCACAGCAGCCTCAAACTCTTGAACTTAAGTGATACTCTTGCCTCAGCGTCCCTAGTAGCTGAGACTACAGGTGCCTACCACATTGCCTGGCTATTTTTTGTTGTTGTTGTTGCAGTTGTTCAAACCCGGGCCAGGTTTGAACCCGCCAGCCTCAGTGTATGTGGCTGGCGCCCAACCAACTGAGCTGCGAGTGCCGCCCAGCTTGAGAAATTTTCTAACAGTCATTTCATAGTTCAGCTCTACTTCTATAAGGTGATAATTTATTTATTTATTTATTTATTTGAGACAGAGTCTCACTTTGTCACCCTCGGTAGAGTTCCATGGTGTCACAAGCTCATAGCCACCTCAAATTCCTTGGGCTCAACCGATTCTCTTGCCTCAGCTTCCCAAGTAGCTGGGATTACAGGTGCCCACCACAATGCCTGGCTATTTTTAGAGATGGGGTCTTGCTCTTGCTCAGGCTGGTCTCAAACCCGTGAGCTCAGGCAGTCCAACTGCCTGAGCCTTCCAGAATGCTAGGATTACAGGCATGAGCCACCACTCCTGGCCCTGTAAGGCTATAATATGATTTCTTATTCATGTATAGCCCACTGTGTGAATAATAGCATTGCACACGTTAATGTTGCAGAATTATTCATTGTCTTATAGCCTTCCTAACTTTTATCTTATTTTTTCCCTTTACAGGAAATGACTTAGAGGCCTTACAAATACGTCTGTGCATTCTTGCTTTAGACTTGACAATTGAGGGCCAACCCAGTCTGGAAGCACCTCTTATTAATGTTACAAGGAAACCACTACCTCAGAGAACAAAGGGAAAGGAGAAGACTTACAATAACAAATGCCATTTAAAAAAATGGTTTTCAGAAAACAGTAGAGGAAATTTGGAAATTTTTAGCATCGCAAAGAGGAAGCTTTAAAGGTAAATGGATTTGACAGGCAGGCTCTGTCAAAACTCTGCAGAGGTTTACTCTTCCTTTCTGAGGACTTAGCGCACAGTAATTCTGTATTGCTTTTTAAATTGCTGTTGATCAGCTTGTGGGTTTTTGGGTTCTAACTTTTTTTGGTATATTGAAGATACATTGTATTACATTATAATACATTTTTTAAAGTTAAGTTATTTTTTTTCCATTGTAAATACAAGTATCAAAATATTCTTGCAACACAATTATAAACATGCATATCTTTTTATTGAGAGTGGAATGCTGAACAGTTCTCATATTGCATTTGGACACACTTGTATTTTTTGTCAGAGGTCCTGCCTACGTTGAAAATATTAATTATATAAACTTGTCCTTCTCACATCTACATTGGATTGTGTGGTCACCTGCCTCATGGAAATGCCTTTTTTAAAACTTAGATTTGCAGAACTCCACTATTTTTATACCTAGCTACCACTTTGGAAGAAGAAGAATCAGAACCCTGACCTACTCAGGGTCCCTGGGATAGTTCTCTCTCCGTATGTATTGCTGCAGTGCCCAGGACAGTAAAATGGACTACAAGCGGCGCTTCTTGCTTGGCGGGTCCAAGCAGAAAGTGCAGCAGCACCAGCAGTACCCGATGCCGGAGCTGGGCCGAGCACTGAGTGCTCCCCTGGCATCTACAGCCGCCACTGCCCCCTTGGGCGGTCTGACCGCTGCAGGCAGCTGCCACCATGCCGTGCCCCACTCCACTCCCATCGCTGACATCCAGCAAGGCATCTCTAAGTACTTGGACGCCCTCAACGTCTTCTGCCGTGCCAGTACGTTCCTCACAGATCTTTTCAGTACTGTGTTCAGGAACTCTCATTACTCTAAGGCGGCCATGCAGCTCAAAGATGTGCAGGAGCATGTCATGGAAGCAGCCAGTCGGCTGACCTCAGCCATAAAGCCTGAGATCGCCAAAATGCTGATGGAACTGAGTGCTGGGGCTGCAAACTTTACCGATCAGAAGGAATTCAGTCTCCAGGACATTGAGGTAGAGTATCTTCTGTGTCATACTTAGGTAGGAAAATGTAGTCCAGAGGTGAATATTGTCATAGTTTTCCCACATCACTGTAGTGGTAGCCCTTGTCCCCTTTCTGTTGGTACTTCTTGTAAGAAATTAGTGTGTGCCAGGTTCTGAATTGCTTTTGTTTCAAATTAAATAGGTTAGAAGATTATTAAACAAATGAGCCTAAATTTACGTTTTTGTCCTTTACATTTCAAATTATTTGATTCTGACTTCCAAATGACAACACTGTTAAAAGTGCTTAATGGGTACTTTTTTTTTTTTCTTTTTTAGACTAATAGTAAAATTCAGGGTTATTTCTTTCTTGTTTTGGCTAGTAGATCTTCCATAACAGATACAGACTAAATTTTTCCTGAATGTATGTGCCAAATGAAAATTCAAATTGCTGCTTTTTTCCCCTTCTTTGCAATAATTTGGACAGAGCTGGACAAATTCCTGCTGTTAATCAGAGACTGAAGTTCACTCTGTAGAAAGCTTATATAAATCCATTTTTCAGGCTCGGCGCCTGTGGCTCAAGTGGCTAAGGCACCAGCCACATACACCTAAGGTGGCGGGTTCAAATCCCCAGCCCGGACCCGCCAAACAATGATGGCTGCAACCAAAAAATGGCCCAGCGTTGTGGCGGGCGCCTGTAGTCCCAGCTACTTGGGAGGCTGAGGCAGGAGACTCACTTGAGCCCAGGAGTTGGAAGTTACTGTGAGTGTGATGCCACGGCACTCTGCCCAGGGGGACAGCTTGAGGCTCCATCTCAAAAAAAAAAAAAAAAAAATCCATTTTTCAGACTTTCTAATTTTTGGTCACTCTCTGGGTTTTTATTTTCCAAGAATATTATGGGGGTAGACCTTCTGGTTATGTAAATTGCTTTACAGTTTGAATTGACGTTGTTAAGTGTGCCCGTCACCCAGATAGTGTGCATGGTACCTATTAGGTGTGAATTTGCCTATCCCCCCCAACCTACTTGCTTTCTGATGAGTGTTATTTTCATATGTGCACATAGTTTTGATCACTTAGTTTCAATTTAATAGTGAGTACATGTGGTGTTTGCTTTTCCATTTTTGTGACACTTCACTTAGAAAAATGGTTTCCACTTCTATCCAGCTTAATACAAGAAATATTAGTTCAGGCTCAGCACCTGTGGCTCAAGTGGCTAAGGCGCCAGCCACATACACCTAAGGTGGCAGGTTTGAATCCAGCCCACGCCTGCCAAACAACAGTGATGGCTGCAACCAAAAAATAGCTGGGCATTGTGGCGGGTGCCTGTAGTCCCAGCTACTTGGGAGGCTAAGGCAGGAGACTCGCTTGAGCCCAGGAGTTGGAGGTTGCTGTGAGCTGTAATGCCACAGCACTCTACCCAGGGGGACAGCTTGAGGCTCTGTCTCAAAAAAAAAGAAATATTAGTTCAATGGCTGGGTGCTGTGGCTCATTCCTGTAATTCTAGCTCTCTGGGAGACCTAGCCTGGCAGATACCTTGGGTTCAGGAATTTGAGACCAGCCTGAGCAAGACTGAGTCCATCTCTACTAAAAAATAGAAAAACTAGCCCGATGTGGGGCTGGACACCTGTAGTCCCATCTATTTGGGAGGCTAAGGTGAGAGAATCTCTTTCTTAAGCCCAAGAGTTTGAGGTTGCTGTGAGCTGTGATACCATGTAACTCTAGCCTGGGCAACAGAGTAAGACTCTGTTTAAAAAGAAAGAAAGGAAAGAAATATTTGTTCACCATTTTCTTTTATGGCTGAGTACTTGGGTTGTTTCCACATCTTTGTGATTGCGAACTGTACTGCTGTAAACATCTGAGTGCAGATGTCTTTTTGCCTTTGGGTAAATTTAATTTATTTTATTTTATTTTAAGACTAGTTCACACTCTTACGCAGGCTGGAGTGAAGTGGTGTGATCATTACTCACTGTAATCTCCAACTCCTGGACTCCAGCAGTCCTTTGGCCTCAGCTTTCCTAATAGCTAAGACTATAGGCATGTGCCACCACATCTGGCTAACTTTTCTAGTTTTTTTTTTGTAGAGACAGGGTCTTGCTATGCCTAGGCTGGTCTTGAACTTCTGGCTTAAGTAATCCTGCCACCTTTGCCTCCCAAAGTGCTGATAGAAGCATGAGCCACCACAGCCTCTTATCACCCTTTTGGACTTTTTATGGGTAACAGGGTCTAACTGTGTTGCCCTCAGTAGAGTGCTGTGGTGTCACAGCTCACAGCAACCTCCAACTCTTGGGCTTAAGCATTTCTCTTGCCTCATCCTCCAAAGTAGCTAGGACTATAGGCACCCGCCACAATGCCCAGCTATTTCTGTTGTTGTTACAGTTGTCACGGTTGTTTTAGTGGTGCAGGCTGAGTTCAAATCCACCAGCCTCAGTGTATGTGGCTGGCGCCTTAACCACTGTGCTATAGGTGCCGAGCCTGGACTTATTTTTTTACTGAGATGAATCTGCTATTATCTAAGTTGTCATTGGCCTTTAGCCTTTAGAAACAGTTACTTGCATAATTAACTAAGCAGTTGAAATTTGGGTGACTCTAAACTTACATTGTCATCATCAAACAAGATTTATTGTCTCGCCCCTCCATTCTCCATTGGTAGAAGCCACTAGGGCTGGAGGGTATCTGCCATTGTGGAGGGCAGGACCTTTCCACTTAGTCCAGACTTGTGTGTGGCCAACCTATTACTGTGAAAATTACTACCTAAAAGGAAAAATGTAACATATTAAACAATTTCCTGTTTTTCCAATATTGACTGTTCATGATAACAAAATATCCCTAATGAATGACAGAAACTTCTATATAGAAACAAATTCTTTTGTGTAGAAGGGATGATACAATTGGGGAGATCTCCATTTTGCAGACCAAAATGGATCCAGTGACTGAACCAGGATATTTCTCACATCAGAAATATCCTGATGTGGAGAAACCCATGCTCAGCAGCCATTTGATGAAAAGTTGCTAGGGAGCTGCTTACCAGAGGGACCAGGCTACTCCCACCCAGATTCCCTTGATCATTCTCAATATTACTGACATTGAGACAGATAGTCAATTGAAATTGAAGCAGATAATTGCGTCTCCTGAGGTGATGCAGTAAGAGCCACACAGCACCTGTGGTATTTCCTTATACTTCTCTCTCTGCCCCAAAGGCCGTGAAATGACCTAATCTAATCAAGCTTCTAGAAGGAATTTCCAGTCTACAGGAAATATTGAGTATAGTGAAACAATTTAAGGAATACCCCAAGAAAGTGATCAAATTCAGAATGGCATATTCTAGTGAGTTGACCTGATTTGTTCAGCAAGTAGTAGCAGAAAAGAAAATTAGGTAGAAGATTCTGTTCTAGATTAAAAGAGAGTTTAACGACCAAAGAAAGTTACCTTTGTGGTAATTTTACAAAACGGCCAAATTGCCTTTTGGGGTTTGAGATTCAAACCAAACATAAAAGGACAGTTTTTGAAATTTGAACATGTACTGGTTCTTGGTTGATTGAGATTTACAAAAAAATATGAAGTGGGGGAAGGACAGATGGAAAAAACATGGTAGAATGATGATGGGATTGAAGCTTGTTGGATAAGTATATGTGTGTGTAGATTGTTATGCTCTGCTTTTATATATGTTTGAATATTTCCTAAGTATGTAAAAAGGAAAAGAGAAACTTGAAACTGACTAATAGGAGTAATGTATCGGAGTACCCAGTAAATGATTCCATTGCATGGAGGGGTTTGTGCCTCTGCAGTGATAGTCCAACACACAAGGTGTAGTGATGAAAAGAAACAGTTGCTCTTCAAGAAAATGAAGAGAATAAAAGTGAATCAAAGGAGAAAATGAGAAGAGAGAGAAGTTACCTCTGTAGGTAAGACCCCAACAGCAGGTAGGAGTCAAGGAGAGAATGGTGTGTTCCGAATTTTGGTGACTAGTAATTGAACTGCAATGTTGCCGTCTTCTAGAAGAACATGATTTAAAATTTCAGAGTTGCTAATGTAAGGGGAATGTAAGGGGAAAATTAGGTTTGGTAGCAGATTAGAGTAAATAAATAGAGTTCATGAAGAGCAATTTTAGGTAAAAATGTCTTTTCTGGATTAATTTTTGTAGTTGCTGGGTGGGTTGTGAGATTTCACGGGATTGGAAAATAGCCTATTCTGGCAGCCTCCCTTGTCTTGATACAATCAGAAATCTAAGTGTCTATAAAATGGCATTTGCCTCAAATCCTTGTGGGACCAGCACATGCTAGGTTTGTGTCCTTTGTGTCTGATACCTCTCTGCTGCTTCAGGCCAGTACAGTCTGCAGAGGGGCTTGTTGGCAGAGTCTATCCCTCCGTAGATGAGGCTTTGTATAGCCCTCAGGCTAATGGTGAAATGTTCAGAGCCAGGAAGGCCATATCCTGATGTGGCCCTAGCCACCTGGGCTGCTTTCCTCTTTATCCAGCTGTGCCACCCACCCTCCTTGAAATAGATACACAAGCTGGCTGCACGAGGGTCAAAGATGATGAGGACAATACAAAGTTTTCCAGGTCTGGTAGGCCAGACAGATGAATAAATAGACAGTGGCACCGGGTGTGATGAGTGCTGCACTGCTGATAGGAAATAGCCTCAAGCCCGACTGTCGATTCTGTGCACTCTCAGCTACTTACACCCCCCACCCCGGTCACTGAGATGGGGCCAGCCTCGCACAAGAACCTTCTTCCTAACATGGAAGAATGTTGGAGTGGGCCAGGACAGAGTCTTGTTTGTTTGTTTTTTTGAGACAGAGTCTTAGTTTGTCACAGCTCATAGTGATCTGAAATTCCTGGGTTCAAGTGATTCTCTTGCCTCAGCCT